ACATGTGACACCCGTCGTGTAACTCCTATAAAATACTTTGATAAATTATATCAACTGAAACTAAGACATAGGGAAGATGCTTGATTTCTTAATTGACTTATTATTCGGGGAGGCGTGTTTTTCAACAAACAATCAGCATTCCGATTTGAACTAACTAACCTCTTCTTGTCGACTTGTTTCTTTATGCATATGAGATATATTTCATACAGGATCTTCTAAGGAAGAATGAAAAGAAGCTAGCATTATCCTTCAACTACCTGTTCCGCTATATAGATGATGTCCCATCACTGAATAATTCAAAGATTAATGACTATGTTGAACGCATCTATCCCATCGAACTTGAAATAAATCATAACACAGATACAGTTAAATCTGCCTCATATCTTGACTTGCATCTAGAAATTGACAATGAGGGTCGGTTTAGAACTAAACTTTACGACAAAAACAATGATTTCAGCTTCTCAATTGTAAACTTTTCATTTCTATGTAGCAATATCCCAGAAGCGTCTGTATATGTAATATAAATCTCCCAATTTTTAACGATATTCTAGAGCTTGCATTTACTATTATAATTTCCTTCAAAAGGGGTTGCTGCTTAGAAGGAAGTCAGAAAACGAATGGTTCACAGTGGTGAAGTTGAGGTTATCTCCTTCAAAATGTTATGGACGCCATCATGAGTTGGTTGACTTTGTTTCATAACCTTAACTTCAAAATAATAATGGATTCCATTGAGGACTACGCCAGAGTATGAGCTAATCAAGAAGAAGTTGAACTGGACACTTTGTCAGAATGAGTCGAATCAATCAGGTCTCTGATAAAACGTCGAATTCTTAAGTTGACAAAGTGTGTGAATGATCGATCAAAGTCCGTTTTTAGAGACAAAGAAGCTGTGAAATGTCCATCATCTCTTCACGATAAATATGTTGTTGTTCATGCGGACAAAGCTTCAAATAGTTTTCGTATGTAAACCTTTCTACTACGAGTGTCTTGTAAAAGAATTAAGAATAAATGAGCACTCAGGTAATCCCACATACAAAAACATATCATTTGACAAGGATGAGATTTTGACTAATCATAAATCCTTCATGGCTTCAATAAACATTACATTGAACAGCGTCTGAGGACATCTTGTTTGTATTGGATACATAAGCTTCACAAAACCCCGTACAAACGATACATTGCCGGCTCATCTGCATGTTCTACAAAGGAATTATCCATTAGATTGACAAAAATTCTGTCCGCAGTGAAAGAGGGTTTTCAGAAATATTGTGAAACTGTTTACTCGCGTAGTGGTATTAACCATATGTAGATTAAGAAAACTCTAAAGAACTTCTGGATAATTTTAAATCTCGATCTTTCTCTGAAATCAATTCTATCAAAACTTTTGATTTTTCAACCCTGTATACCACCATTCCCCGTGTGAAATTGATAAATGGTCTAAAAGAAAAAATCCACAATGCTTTTTAATATAAAAATGGTAGCATATGCTATAAATTTATTGCTTTTGGGATACCATACAGCATATTTTTGTTAATAGTGAACAAAAAGGTAAAACATGCTACACGGAGGAACAAGTGATCAGTATGCTGGAGTTTCTTATTGACAACATATTTGTTGAATTTGGAGGTAGACTTTTTCAACAAATTGGCATTCCTATGGAAACGAACTGTGCGCCTCTCTTTGCCGACCTTTTCTTATTTTCATATGAGTCGGAGTTCCTTCAGACACTTATAAGATCAAAGAAGCCAGATCATTTATTTTCACATTCAGATGTATTGATGATGTTCTTTCTTTTAACAATCCAAACTTTTCTGATTGGGTTCTATTAATATATCCTCCAGAACAAGAAATTAAAGAAACAACAGACACGGCTTCCTCCGCCTCATTTTTAGACTTATACTTCGAATTTGACATAAATTTTGAAATTATAAATTTCCCCCACCTTAGCAGCAATATACCAACTTCACCTGCATATGGGATATACATTTCCCAACTCATTCCGTATTCAAGAGCTTACAACTGCTACTCAGACTTTATACTTTATAAAACGTCACAAGTGTCTGAGCGGATTGATACACCAGGGTTATATCAAAGAACGTCTCGACCTTTCTCTAAAAAAGTACATCGGAAGATACCAAGACTTTGTTGATAAATATTCCGTATCAACTTCACAAATAATACATGATGGTCTCGAAGTATAGATTCTAGGTACTGACATTGTTTATCATCTTAATTATGTGTTAAAGTGTTCTTTTATTTGTCTTTGTAAACTATCAACCTTTACTTTTTAGTCCATTTTTGTAGGGATGTCAACTCGGTGAACAATTATTAATCGAGTACTCGTTGGTATTATCGAGCGATACTCGAGTACTCGCTCGGGAATATATCTACAACACGGAAACACAAAAATACGTATTTTACATTCTGTGGTTTGTTGTTCAACGGACGAAAAACCATCTACATAAGTATCTGGGACAAAGAATTACACACCATAATTAATAGCTAATTACCTACAAGTACTAATTAGGTAAAAAACAATAATCTAATCAATATAATTTAATGAACACCTATTTAAAAATTATAACAAGGAAAAACCACATCTAACATTAGTATTTCATAATCGTTAAGAAAACACATTTATATTTTTCCAAAGGCGTATGGATTAGAAGTTTAACTAATCACTGAGGGTCACCAGAGGGTGCAACGAATTTATTTTATTAGTAAACATTTTCTTTTCTTTTCAACTATTATTGGAAACAGTCGGTTTTGCAACTTTGTAAATTACAGTCTTGCAGACACAAATATTTCCTCTGACGGTATCGATGTGACGGAATGGCTTAGTTTAAAGTGTTAGCTGAGGCACAGCCCACGTATTTTCAAACGCATTTAAAAAATGACAATTTAGCACAAGCATTCGAAACAAAATGTTTTTTATTTATTAGTATGATTAATCAGAGATGCCTATTTAATTTTCCAAAAGACGTTCTCAAGAAGATCAATTTTATAAAAAGAAGACAGCAATATTTAATAGGAAACCAATTAGTCGAGTATCTTTTTGATATTCGATACTCGGTACTACCGAGCGATACTCGAATACTCGAGTACTCGTTGACCTCCCTAATTTTTTGTAATGTCCTTTTGGCATGGCTCGGTACTTATACATCCCGCCATTGTGTTATTGTGCTATGGTCTTTTTTGTATTCTTGTCTTTCATTTTTGCTTATGTGCTTTGTCTATATGCAATTTTGGGGTTTTTTTGTTGACATATTTCTTTGTTTTTATAGTGATTAAGATTATAACACAATGCTGACTGCTGTACCACTATTTTTTACATTTTTTCCTAGTATGTCTGTTTTTTTTTTTCGTTTTTATGCGACTGTCATATAAGTGAGAGGTGTAGCTAGCTATAAAACCAGGTTTAATCCACCATTTTCTACATAAGGAAATGTCTGTACCAAGTCAGGAATATGACAGTTGTTTTCCATTCGTTTGATATGTTTGAGCTTTTGATTTTGCCATTCAATAAGGGACTTTCCGTTTTGAATTTTCCTTGGATTTCGGTATTTTTGTTGTTTTACTTTTCCGATGACGACGAATATGTTCCAATTGTTGTAACCACAATACTGTCCTCATTCCCTCGAATGTGATCTACCGAATTAGACTTATCTCCGGGTTTTTACTTGCATGACTAACACGACGGGGTGCCATATGTGGAGCAGGTTCTGCTTACCCTTTCAAAGCACCTGTGATCACTTCTGTTTTTGATGGGGTTCATGTTTCTCAGGGTTCTTCAGTTTCTATGTTGTGTTTTGTGAACTGTTTGCCTAATGGTCGTTTTTCATTTTCTGCCATGGCAGTGTCAGTTCGTTTTCGACTGAGTTTGACTATCCCTTTGGTATCGTCCGTCTCTCTTCTATCTGATTAAAAAATTGCGGCAAGTTTCTACTTCTACTTCTACCATTACGCAGCCAGCATCAATAAACTGATTATTCGGTCCCTTTTGGGTGCGCATTTAAACAATTTATAAAGAAAGAGTAGACTGTGCTATACAGTTTTATATACAGTGAAGTTAAAAATCCTGGATGGTGATATAGTTCGTCTCATGTATGCGAGTCTTAAAATATTCTAGACTTCCAACACTTGTGGTGGCATGCGATAGGGCGCTCCAGTCTCTAATTGTTCTTTGGTAGAATGATTCCTTCGTCACTTTTGTTCTACTTGATAGTACTTTGAATCCGTCGACGTTTGTATTACCGGATGGTCCGTTTGAGAGTGAGAATGTTTTCTGTGTAAAAGTTGACCATCCCGTTGGCACGTTTGACCATCATTGTGAGTCTGCATATTACATATCGATCTTAAATAGTTTTCCATTCAAGTTGGTTAAGCATGTCGCTGACAGATGAGGTGTTATGAAATCTGTTTAGTGACACATCTTACTGCTCTTATTTGTCCCATTTCTAGTCTGAGTTTGTTGTTCTGCTGGAAAGGGTCCCAGGCTGTACATACATACTCCAATGTTGGTCTGATCAGAGAGTTGTAAGCAGTTTCCTATATTAAAGGGTAATTGATGTTTAGGTTCTGTTTAAGAAATCCTATGGTCTTGTTTGCCTTGTTACATATGTTTTTTTTTGATATTTTCGTTTAATCTTATGTCTGAACTGATGGTACAGTCTAGGTTCTTCGCAGACTTAATGATATGGCCAAGCAGTGTGAACTCTTATCACTATAGGTTTGCGTTTCCTTGAAAGGGACTAACCCCTCTACAAATTTACCTTGAAGTTCGGTATTTTCTTCATACTATTCATACAGCAGGTTTGTTTTCCTTTGCAAGGGTTTCATAATCCTTCAAATTCACGTAACTAATTTGAAGACATTAGGTAGCAACATGTTACATTTAGATGCCTTGTTATCTAGCCTTGCTACTGTTTAGTATGTCCTCAAATAGTCTTACATTATTATTTTATAGATAAAGTAATACCTGTAGAAAAAGTAAAATTAAAACAAGCATAGACTGTTTATTTAAAGAATCTAACACATATACTACACAAGATCATCCTTATAAAAAGAATTAGATTTCCTACTGCTATCATTCACATAAAAATAATATCAAGTCAGTTACACATTCAATAAACATAAAATTAATAACAAATCAGTTACATATTCAATTTAACAAATATTCAGAATTTCGAACACATTAATTTCCTTACAAACTGAACAACAACTATGACAGTTATATTGCCAATTCTGTTACACCATTCAATAGACACCAATTACATAGAAAACTAACTTTTCATAAAAAAATCTTTGTTAAAAAGTTCATAATTTTGTTTGAAGTAGGATAACTGAAATGAAACTCAAAATATGTAACAACCGGGTAATTATTATACAATAACAAAAAAACACCCAAGTATCTACAAAGAGAAGTAAAAATGGAATGAGAAACCTTCTTTTCATGGAATAAAGTCTAAAAGCTCCATTTAGTCAAAAAACCGGTCAAGTGGCATACATTTTACAAGTAATCTCCAAACACCTTTCTTACTTTAATGTTTTTATCTACAGTTACTGCAGCAATATTTGTCACTTGGCCAGCATATGAGAACAAATGCAATTATCAAAAATAAATACATTTTTGTACAATCAATATAATTAGGAAATGTTTGGTCCTAATCTGCTTAGGGGTTGTTCCATAAAAATGGATATGGGAGGATAGGAAAGAACTTCTAAAATCCCCCCAAAACCAACATGTCCCGTCCCTAGTCCAGGACCTTGTCAGTGGTTGTCATATCATAATGTGTTTTGCTATTTGGAGATTTTGGTGCTAATAACAGATCTTTGGTCGTTTCTATTTAATTTATTCACGAATTTTATAGGCTTAGGATAGACCTTGACATATTGTATAAACACCTTTGTATTGTTGAATACTGGGAGTTGCCTTCTAGATGTCTTTTGGTTATTTTTGTCATTGGGTTGCTGTCTCATTGACGTATGCCCCACATCTCCTTTTATTCATACGTTCTTTAAGTAATTTGCATACATTAAGGAGTAGTACCACAATTTTTCCCCCCAAAAAAAATGTGCAGAATTTATCTTTGTTTCAAATAAAGAAATACTTGGCATTAGTAAAGTTTTATCCTGTCCAGTACTACAGTAAAATTTTCACATAACATTTCATTCCATATAAGATAATAACCATCAACAGAAGTAAACCAATCAAATTTTCTCTCCTTTTTAGCTTTAGTAACCATGTCACCTTAAGTTTCCAAAATATTTTATAAGAACACCAAATATAGAAAGAATGGTTTTGAAGCACCTAACATATATGTCTATGACTCAGAATTTTTTTTTTGCAATAAAATGCAGGGTTTATTTCCTATAACTGTCAAATTCAAGGAAATATTTTTTTTCTACCCTTTTTTGTATGAAACCGGGTGTGACGTACTATAATTTGGTGGTATTAGACCTCAAATAGACATACAACCATGAAAGAAATGAAATGAAATTTCCTTTTCTTCCATATTCATTTTTTATTCAATAGCCATGACAGAGAAATAAGAGAATAAAATTCTTTAAATCATGCAAAATGATGGGACAACAGCAGGAATGTCAACTGATACATGTATAGCAATATCTCAAATGGAAAACATAGCCAAGAGGGATTATAAAGTACTGGTAATTGTTACTTTTTAATGAAACATGGCTTCAGATCAGTATATCACAATGTTTTCTAGCAGTATAGGATATTCTTTATTTCCACATTTAAAAATTTGACATTATAAGTCAAGCTTCACTTAGTAACCCCTCTCCTTGGTCTTTTAACTTTAGAATGTTTAGCTTTGTTTTTCTTCTTATTGGAAGAAGATATAACACATCTTTTGGGCAAGGATCCATTTGACACTGATTGGGTACTTGTTCTGAAATTAAAAAATTATGATGGAATTAAATGACACACGTCTTTGAACTTGTACCACTAATATATACCTACAGTTTAATATTCTATACGCAACTTTACATTCCTTAGAGGGGTTTAATGCCTCAAGTTTTAGTTAAAGGAACCAAGAAAAATGTCAAACAATTAAGCAGTTTGGCCCTTTGAACTCAGCCTTTTCACTTCAAAATTGGCCTTCACCAAATTCAGGTTGATGGATGCTGCAAATGTTTCATGAAAATTCAGGATTATTAAATTTTCAAGGTATACGATTACTGTAAATTCAGGATTATTAAATTTTCAAGGTATACGATTACTGTAAATTCAGGATTATTAAATTTTCAAGGTATACGATTACTGTAAATTCAGGATTATTAAATTTTCAAGGTATACGATTACTGTAAATTCAGGATTATTAAATTTTCAAGGTATACGATTACTGTAAATTCAGAAATTATTGTAAAGTTTTATTCATGCAGATAATGCGACTGGCTGAGTATCGCAATATAAAAAAACTGCTTCGCTGAGCGCAGCTAGATACGCCCGCAGAGGTCCAAACTTGAACAGTTGGGGCAGAAATGGACACAATATTCAAGCTTGATTCAGGTCTGAATTTGGATTGTAATTAAATATTTGACATATTATAGGTTTCTGAATAAATGTATTCAAAGAACTTAAATTGGTTATATGAATTGAATTTATATTCAATTAAAGATTTCTTGCTGTTGTGCAACACTTAGTAAATCTGTTGTCAAGACTATAAACAAATAAAGTTCAATTAATTTTCAATGCCATATTAGAAATTTATGAAAATAAAAAGGGAGCTTACATCAATAGATATAAACAATTCACCAAAGTTTCATAAGAATTGGTGACAGCATTTTTGAGTTTTTATGGATAAAACCCTGTAATTCGGAAACGTAAAATCTAAAATTTATAAAAATCAAAATATCAAATATCATGTCAATAGATATAAACAATTCACCACAATTTCTTGCAAGTTGGTGAAAGCATTCTTGACTTATTGTCCGAAAACTGGAAAATCCCCCTTTTTTTAATGAATAATTCCCATAACTCGGAAACGTAAAATCTAAATTTTATAAAAAAACGAAAGGGAGCTCACGTCAATATATATAAACAATTCACCAAAGTTTTATGCAAATTGTTTAAAGCATTCTTGAGTTAATGTCCGACATGTTGACGACGGACAGACGGACGGACAGACGGACAGACGGACTGACAGACGGACAACGGTATACCATAATACGTCCCGTAAACGGGCATATAAAAATTGCATTTTGAATTCAATACATATATCTGTAGGAGTATTTTTCTTAAATTGCAATAATTAATTTGCCAATTTGTCCATTTTCTAAATAAACTGTTAACACAGAGATATGTCTCGCCTATTTGTTATTTTGATAATGCAAATGTTGAAATTAAAATTACAATACTTTAACATGTAAGTTATGCAAATATTCAAAGTCAATGAACCATGACTGAATGTACAGGGCTAAACAGTCTCCATGGAAATGAGATGTGCCAATGCTAATACAACTGCAAACCAAATACCATTGACTTTTCATAAGTCGTTTCCTTTAAACAAACCTAAACACAAACATTAACTTGTAAACTATGTAAAAGTTTCAAGTCAATGAACCATAATTAGGGGGTGGGTTATACAATCTCCATGCAAATGAAACTTGCCAACGCCAATACATTTGCATACCGAATATCATTGACTTAACATTAGTGGTTCATCTTAAACTGACCTAATCACAAACTAATACATGTAAACTAAGCAAAAGTTTCAAAGTCAATAGACCATGACTGAGAAGTAAGGACCAAATATTCTCCATGAAAATGAGATGTGCTAATGCTTCTACAACTGCATACCAATTATCATTGACCTACCACTAACAGTTCCCTTTAAACTGACCTAATCACAAACTAATACATGTAAACTAAGCAAAAGTTTTAAAGTCAATAGACCATGACTGAGGGGGTTGGGCCAAATAATCTCCATTGAAATGAGATATGCCAATGCTTATACAACTGCATACCAAATATCATTGACCTACCACCAGTGGTTCCCCATAAACTGACCTAATCACAAACTAATACATGTAAACTAAGCAAAAGTTTTAAAGTCAATAGACCATGACTGAGGGGGCAGGGCCAAATAATCTCCATGGTAATTATAGATGTGCCAATGCTAATACAACTGCATACCAAATAGCATTGACCTACCACTAGTGGTTCCCCATAAACTGACCTAATCACAAACTAATACATGTAAAACTAAGCAAAGTTTCAAAGTCAATAGACCTTGACTGAGGGGGTGGGGCCAAATAATCTCCTTGGTAATGAGATGTGCCAATGCTTATACAGCTGCATACCAAATATCATTGACCTACCACTAGTGGTTCACCATGAACTAGACCTAATCACAAACTAATACATTGTTGACGCGGCCGCGGCCGCTGCCACCACCGTCAACACCGCTGACGCCGGAAACAGCATACCTATGTCTCGCTTTTTGACTCCGTCAACGCGAGACAAATATCGCAATAATAAATGCATGCAATAATTTTTGAATTTACAATATACCTTAATTTGTACTAGAACATTACACTGAGTAAGATTTTTACCAGTCCACCAAAAGGTATGTTACTATTCCTAAACACAAGAATTTGATGCTGAACTGACCATTTTGTGTTCATAATCATATAAAATGCTTCAGGGAACAAACCAACCATCTCCCAAACTCAAGCTGAGGATACTTAAACTAGACCATGCCTTGCAATCATAATATTATTTCAAGTACAATTATCGTACTCAGATTTAGAAACAACCAATCAAAATACTATATTATTTGGTTTTTCAAGCACAAATTTTGTACTCCGATTACTGACTTAAGTTTAATGTCATACCACCAAGATTTTTTTATTCTTATAATATAATTGCTGTACTAAATGAACTTTTCATTATATTCCTGGTAAGAATGGTACAATTTCACTCTGAAATTTCAAAGAAAAATACGAATAGTTCATTGAAAATGAGAGACAAATGACAGATACAATTGATAGTATCACTAGTAGCAAGATTTCAGTCTGAAACGGTCATTTTGGTCTGATCAAGTCTGAATCAACTGAATTAACCGCTGTTTAAGACTTTCAGACGCTGTTCAGATATGTTGTGTTCAGTCCGTTCATTCATGTCAAGATAAACAAGACAGAAGGCTCTAGCTGTTAAACAAGATATGTTAAGACGGTTTTAGACGAATTCAGACCAAACATAAAAAGTAATGTTAAAAATTTTCAGATCGGGTTAAGATCCGTTTAGTGTGTCAGAATGATATTAGGAGTTACGCCCCTTCATGTGGATAATACATTTTAATTATAAAAAAATTACAATATAAATGCTAGAATGAAAAACGTATATTTTTAATAATTAAACATAAAATCATTGGTTGACTTTTTATTTCTGTTGGTCTTTTTTTAAGAGATTAGTGATTTTGTTTTGTTGAGGAAATAACTTATTCGCCTATAACTGTTCATGATTTTATTTTATTTTTTATTTTCTGATGTTAATTTATGTATTTATCTACTTATTCTTTGAAAAGAAGTAATTGCAAATTTTAAACATAACATTATCAAAAGAGTGAAAACACCTTATAAATTTCATGCGTCTGAAGCACGTTTCTGGATTTAACTACATCGGGAACAATCAACGTAAATACAAATATGTTTTATGTCAGATAATTTATATCGTTAATTTCGTTATCTTTCGATACTTTCCTCTAAAACTTAATAATTACTTTGTGGCATTTAGTAATCATTCCCCGTGCGTGTTATTCTTTTTATATTTGGACAACCGTCTTCTTTTTTTTTTTTTGCTTTTATTTCGTAGTGATGCGTAGTCACCAAGGCCGCATCAGGGAACCATGTCTCCAAGTGCAGTTAATATTCTGAAAACTGCACTTAGACCGTGACGAGACAATAAAACTATAAATAACATACCATCGGAAAGAAGAAGATGTTGATGGGAGGGGGCGGGGAGGAGGTTACAGAATAGAGAATGAGTGGCAATAAATATAAAGAATAGAGAAAATGGATAAAAAAAATAAAGAATAGAGAATAATAAGGTGCTTGAATATAAAGAATTGATAATAATAGACAAAAAGTTTAAAGAATAGAGAAAATCGGCATAAAAAATTAAAGAATACAGAAATAAAGGACCCCCTCCAGATCCTCATAGAAGTTTTCGTTAAAACAATACAACCTAATTTAAGTTCAGCATCGAGTATATATCCTTGTAAATGCGTTAATACTTTCTTTCATTTTAATAACAATTTTATTTAATATAAAATAATTATGTATTTATTTGTTTATTCAAGTTGCACTATAGCAAATAATTCTTTTTCGTCTTTTTCTTCCTATAATAGTAATAAATGTATTCGTTATTTAATATTTTCTGTCAATAAAGATTGAATTCAATGGCACGTGCCACTAATCAAAAATGATCCTTAAACTATCAAAAACTTGGCAATTACAATGGATATTTCACAATTACATCATATGTACACCTGTCATGGTATCATAGCTCCGTTCATGTATGTGTAATTTAAGGTTCTGACACATTTTATAATAGCTTCTTTCTGAACACTATTGACGACATTGTTAAAACTGCACGAACATATCACAAAACTGCAAATTTAGTGGTTAAAAAATAAACGATAATGACAAAAAAATAATTAAAAAACTAAAAACAAAACAATATTCTGTTGGAAGTAGCATAAATTTACATGTATAAATTGTCTAGTGCTTTTATTACAGCGGTATACTTGTTTTATACACAGACCATATTCTGATCATATTCTATGCTAAGATATTGACAAGACAGAAGTAAATATGTTAAAAGTAGTTTTAAATCAATTCATTTCACAGCTGAGGCAAATGTTCCTTCCCATTGTTGAATGGAGGT